TTCAAATCTAGTTACACATTGGAGAACTCACTCAGGAGAGAAACCTTTCTCATGTTCTGAATGTGGGAAATGTTTTGGCCTTAGAACATCTTTAGTTGCACACATGAGAACTCACACAGGAGAGAAACCTTTCTCATGTGCTGAATGTGGGAAATGTTTTAACAGGCATTCAAATCTAGTTACACACCGGAGAACTCACTCAGGAGAGAAACCTTTCTCATGTGCTGAATGTGGAAAATGTTTTAACAGGCATTCAAATCTAGTTGCACACCAGAGAACTCACACGGGGGAGAAACCTTTGTCATGTTCTGAATGTGGAAAATGCTTTAGCCAGTACTCAGCTCTAGTTGCACACCAGAGAAGTCACACAGATGAGAAACCTTTCTCATGTACAGAATGGAGAAATAGTTTTGTTAGTAAACCAGAGTTTGTTAATAATCAGATAACTCACACTGTAGAGTTTTTATAATGTGTTTATGAATTAACATCGGAGTTAAATCGGAGTACAAATACTGTGAATTGCTTTATTGCTGTCAAAAGAAATAATACCTGTGATAATAGCAATGTATAAATGATGCATTGGTATTGCGATTGTGTTAACTCTACAGAGCCCCTCTTTACTTATCTCCCCTTTGATATTAATGTTAAATTTGAAAACTTCTGTGCCTTCCATGCACAACTCTTGAATTCTTTAATTTTGTTTATTTTTTGTTAGTGTGAGAGTTATTGCACATATTGTCTGGTTATTTGATGTTCCCCATTTATCAATTTCACCTAACTAATCTCTCCCATTGATTGGTTTAATTTTCTCACCTAATTTCTGCATGCCTTTTTACACATAGTTTATTGCTTTATCTACTCTCAGACTCTCTCTCTTACTGTCTGTGACCCAAACAACAGCATTCATAAGTTTCACTCAGGATTCAAAGCTAACAAGTGTTGCAGCCAAAGCCATATGAAAAAAATTCTGGAAGATCAAGTCCCTCAAAACCCACCTCCTCAGACTATGGCATCTGAAAGTAACTGTTATTTCACAAACCTATTTTTCACGCCTTCTTAAAAGGCCACAGTCCTCTTTTACCTTTTAATTCTGCTACTCCCCACCATGTTGCTTGGTTGCTATGTGGAAAATGTCAGTAAAGCAAGTCTTGAAACACATCAGAGAACTCACACAGGAGAGAAGCATTTTTCATGTTCTGAATGTGGAAAATTTGTTATCCGTAAAGGAGAGCTTGTTATACATCAAATAATTCAAATAGGAGAGAAA